TTATACTTAATGACATACCGTCTGCTATCAAACAGTCGACATCCTATACTTAATGACTTTCCACCCACTATCAAGCAGTCGACAGTTTATACTTAATGACATACCGTCTGCTATCAAACAGTCGACATCCTATACTTAATGACTTTCCACCCACTATCAAGCAGTCGACAGTTTATACTTAATGACATACCGTCTGCTATCAAACAGTCGACATCCTATACTTAATGACTTTCCACCCACTATCAAGCAGTCGACAGCTTATACTTAATGACATACCACCCACTATCAAACAGTCGACAGTTCTTACTTAATGACATACCGTCAACTATCAAACACTCGACAGACTATGCTTAATGACATACCGCCCACTATCAAACAGAAGACAGCATATACTGAATGACATTCTACCCACTATCAAACACTCGATAGCTTATGCTTAATGACATACCACCCAGTATCAAACAGACGAAAGCCTATACTGAATGACATACCACCCACTATCAAACAGAAGACACACTATACGTAATGACATACCGCCCACTATCAAGCACTCGACAGCCTATGCTTAATGACACACCGTCCACTATCAAACAATTGACAACTTAAAGTTAATAACATACCATCCACTATCAAACAGAAGACAGACTATACTGAATGACATACCGCCCACTATGAAGAACTTGACAGCCTATGCTTAATGACATACCACCCACTATCAAACAGTCGACGGTTTATACATAATAACATACCGCCCACTATTAAACAGACGACAGCCTAAACTGAATGGCATACCGTCCACTATCAAAATCTACAGTCTATGCTTAATGACATACCGTCCACTATCAAACAGTCGACAGCCTATACTTAATGACATACCACCAACTACCAAACAGACGACAGCCTAAACTGAATGACATACAGTGCACTATCAAGCAGACAACAGCCTATACTGAATGACATACCACCCACTATCAAACATTCTACAGTTTATACTTAATGACATACCATCCACTATCAAACAGTCGACAGACTATACTGAATGGCATACCACCCACTATCAAACAGACGACAGCCTATGCTTAACGACATACCGCCCACAATCAAACAGACGACAGCATTTTGTTAATGAGATACCACCCACAATCAAATAGTCGTCAGCCTATGCTTTAAGACATACCGCCCACTACCAAACAAGCGACATCCTATGTTTAATGGCATACCACCCACTATCAAACAGACGACAG